TAATGTGTCCCTTATACCCCCAAGGTGTGTCCCCTATAGCCCCATGGCTTGTCCCCTGTAGCCCCCATGATGGGTCCCCTATAGCCCCACAGGTGTGTCCCCTATAGCTCCATAGTGTGTCCCCTATAGCCCCCATGGTGTGTCCCCTGTAGCCCCCATGATGGGTCCCCTATAGCCCCATAGTGTGTCCCCTATAGCCCCCATGGTGTGTCCCCTATAGCCCCCATGATGGGTCCCCTATAGCCCCTATAGTGTGTCCCCTATAGCCCCCTATAGGCCCCATATCTAGTCCCCTATAGCCCCATGGCCTGTCCCCTATAGCCTCCATGGTGTGTCCCCTATAGCCCCCATGGTGTGTCCCCTATAGCTCCCATGGCCTGTCCCCTATAGCCCCCATGATAGGTCCCCTATAGCCCCCACATTGTGTCCCCTATAGCCCCATGGTGTGTCTCCTATACCCCCACATCCTGTCCCCTATAGCCCCACAGCCTGTCCCCTATAGCCCCTATAGTGTGTCCCCTATAGCCCCATGATCTGTCCCCTATAGCCCCCATAGCTTGTCCTCTATAGCCCCTATAGTGTGCCTCCTGTACCCCCTATAATGTGTTCCTTATACCCCCAAGGTGTGTCCCCTATAGCCCCATGGCTTGTCCCCTGTAGCCCCCATGATGGGTCCCCTATAGCCCCTATAGTGTGTCCCCTATAGCCCCCTATAGGCCCCATATCTAGTCCCCTATAGCCCCATGATCTGTCCCCTATAGCCCCTATAGTGTGTCCCCTATAGCCCCCTATAGGCCCCATATCTAGTCCCCTATAGCCCCATGATCTGTCCCCTATAGCCCCTATAGTGTGTCCCCTATAGCCCCCTATAGGCCCCATATCTAGTCCCCTATAGCCCCATGATCTGTCCCCTATAGCCCCTATAGTGTGTCCCCTATAGCCCCCTATAGGCCCCATATCTAGTCCCCTATAGCCCCATGATCTGTCCCCTATAGCCCCTATAGTGTGTCCCCTATAGCCCCCTATAGGCCCCATATCTAGTCCCCTATAGCCCCATGATCTGTCCCCTATAGCCCCTATAGTGTGTCCCCTATAGCCCCCTATAGGCCCCATATCTAGTCCCCTATAGCCCCATGATCTGTCCCCTATAGCCCCTATAGTGTGTCCCCTATAGCCCCCTATAGGCCCCATATCTAGTCCCCTATAGCCCCATGATCTGTCCCCTATAGCCCCTATAGTGTGTCCCCTATAGCCCCCTATAGGCCCCATATCTAGTCCCCTATAGCCCCATGATCTGTCCCCTATAGCCCCTATAGTGTGTCCCCTATAGCCCCCTATAGGCCCCATATCTAGTCCCCTATAGCCCCATGATCTGTCCCCTATAGCCCCTATAGTGTGTCCCCTATAGCCCCCTATAGGCCCCATATCTAGTCCCCTATAGCCCCATGATCTGTCCCCTATAGCCCCTATAGTGTGTCCCCTATAGCCCCCTATAGGCCCCATATCTAGTCCCCTATAGCCCCATGATCTGTCCCCTATAGCCCCTATAGTGTGTCCCCTATAGCCCCCTATAGGCCCCATATCTAGTCCCCTATAGCCCCATGATCTGTCCCCTATAGCCCCTATAGTGTGTCCCCTATAGCCCCCTATAGGCCCCATATCTAGTCCCCTATAGCCCCATGATCTGTCCCCTATAGCCCCTATAGTGTGTCCCCTATAGCCCCCTATAGGCCCCATATCTAGTCCCCTATAGCCCCATGATCTGTCCCCTATAGCCCCTATAGTGTGTCCCCTATAGCCCCCTATAGGCCCCATATCTAGTCCCCTATAGCCCCATGATCTGTCCCCTATAGCCCCTATAGTGTGTCCCCTATAGCCCCCTATAGGCCCCATATCTAGTCCCCTATAGCCCCATGATCTGTCCCCTATAGCCCCTATAGTGTGTCCCCTATAGCCCCCTATAGGCCCCATATCTAGTCCCCTATAGCCCCATGATCTGTCCCCTATAGCCCCTATAGTGTGTCCCCTATAGCCCCCTATAGGCCCCATATCTAGTCCCCTATAGCCCCATGATCTGTCCCCTATAGCCCCTATAGTGTGTCCCCTATAGCCCCCTATAGGCCCCATATCTAGTCCCCTATAGCCCCATGATCTGTCCCCTATAGCCCCTATAGTGTGTCCCCTATAGCCCCCTATAGGCCCCATATCTAGTCCCCTATAGCCCCATGATCTGTCCCCTATAGCCCCTATAGTGTGTCCCCTATAGCCCCCTATAGGCCCCATATCTAGTCCCCTATAGCCCCATGATCTGTCCCCTATAGCCCCTATAGTGTGTCCCCTATAGCCCCCTATAGGCCCCATATCTAGTCCCCTATAGCCCCATGATCTGTCCCCTATAGCCCCTATAGTGTGTCCCCTATAGCCCCCTATAGGCCCCATATCTAGTCCCCTATAGCCCCATGATCTGTCCCCTATAGCCCCTATAGTGTGTCCCCTATAGCCCCCTATAGGCCCCATATCTAGTCCCCTATAGCCCCATGATCTGTCCCCTATAGCCCCTATAGTGTGTCCCCTATAGCCCCCTATAGGCCCCATATCTAGTCCCCTATAGCCCCATGATCTGTCCCCTATAGCCCCTATAGTGTGTCCCCTATAGCCCCCTATAGGCCCCATATCTAGTCCCCTATAGCCCCATGATCTGTCCCCTATAGCCCCTATAGTGTGTCCCCTATAGCCCCCTATAGGCCCCATATCTAGTCCCCTATAGCCCCATGATCTGTCCCCTATAGCCCCTATAGTGTGTCCCCTATAGCCCCCTATAGGCCCCATATCTAGTCCCCTATAGCCCCATGATCTGTCCCCTATAGCCCCTATAGTGTGTCCCCTATAGCCCCCTATAGGCCCCATATCTAGTCCCCTATAGCCCCATGATCTGTCCCCTATAGCCCCTATAGTGTGTCCCCTATAGCCCCCTATAGGCCCCATATCTAGTCCCCTATAGCCCCATGATCTGTCCCCTATAGCCCCTATAGTGTGTCCCCTATAGCCCCCTATAGGCCCCATATCTAGTCCCCTATAGCCCCATGATCTGTCCCCTATAGCCCCTATAGTGTGTCCCCTATAGCCCCCTATAGGCCCCATATCTAGTCCCCTATAGCCCCATGATCTGTCCCCTATAGCCCCTATAGTGTGTCCCCTATAGCCCCCTATAGGCCCCATATCTAGTCCCCTATAGCCCCATGATCTGTCCCCTATAGCCCCTATAGTGTGTCCCCTATAGCCCCCTATAGGCCCCATATCTAGTCCCCTATAGCCCCATGATCTGTCCCCTATAGCCCCTATAGTGTGTCCCCTATAGCCCCCTATAGGCCCCATATCTAGTCCCCTATAGCCCCATGATCTGTCCCCTATAGCCCCTATAGTGTGTCCCCTATAGCCCCCTATAGGCCCCATATCTAGTCCCCTATAGCCCCATGATCTGTCCCCTATAGCCCCTATAGTGTGTCCCCTATAGCCCCCTATAGGCCCCATATCTAGTCCCCTATAGCCCCATGATCTGTCCCCTATAGCCCCTATAGTGTGTCCCCTATAGCCCCCTATAGGCCCCATATCTAGTCCCCTATAGCCCCATGATCTGTCCCCTATAGCCCCTATAGTGTGTCCCCTATAGCCCCCTATAGGCCCCATATCTAGTCCCCTATAGCCCCATGATCTGTCCCCTATAGCCCCTATAGTGTGTCCCCTATAGCCCCCTATAGGCCCCATATCTAGTCCCCTATAGCCCCATGATCTGTCCCCTATAGCCCCTATAGTGTGTCCCCTATAGCCCCCTATAGGCCCCATATCTAGTCCCCTATAGCCCCATGATCTGTCCCCTATAGCCCCTATAGTGTGTCCCCTATAGCCCCCTATAGGCCCCATATCTAGTCCCCTATAGCCCCATGATCTGTCCCCTATAGCCCCTATAGTGTGTCCCCTATAGCCCCCTATAGGCCCCATATCTAGTCCCCTATAGCCCCATGATCTGTCCCCTATAGCCCCTATAGTGTGTCCCCTATAGCCCCCTATAGGCCCCATATCTAGTCCCCTATAGCCCCATGGCCTGTCCCCTATAGCCTCCATGGTGTGTCCCCTATAGCCCCCATGGTGTGTCCCCTATAGCTCCCATGGCCTGTCCCCTATAGCCCCCATGATAGGTCCCCTATAGCCCCCACATTGTGTCCCCTATAGCCCCATGGTGTGTCTCCTATACCCCCACATCCTGTCCCCTATAGCCCCACAGCCTGTCCCCTATAGCCCCTATAGTGTGTCCCCTATAGCCCCATGATCTGTCCCCTATAGCCCCCATAGCTTGTCCTCTATAGCCCCTATAGTGTGCCTCCTGTACCCCCTATAATGTGTTCCTTATACCCCCAAGGTGTGTCCCCTATAGCCCCATGGCTTGTCCCCTGTAGCCCCCATGATGGGTCCCCTATAGCCCCACAGCCTGTCCCCTATAGCCCCTATAGTGTGTCCCCTATAGCCCCCATGATCTGTCCCCTACAGTCTCCATGGTGCATCCCGTATAGCCCCCACAGCCTGTCCCCTATAGCCCCATAGCTTGTCCCCTATAGCCCCCATGATGGGTCCCCTATAAGCCCCATAGCTTCTCCCCTATAGCCCCACAGCCTGTCCCCTATAGCCTCCATGGTGTGTCCCCTATAGCCCCCATAGCTTGTCCCCTATAGCCCCCATAGCTTGTCCCCTATAGCCCCCATAGCTTGTCCCCTATAGCCCCCATAGCTTGTCCCCTATAGCCCCCATAGCTTGTCCCCTATAGCCCCCATAGCTTGTCCCCTATAGCCCCCATAGCTTGTCCCCTATAGCCCCCATAGCTTGTCCCCTATAGCCCCCATAGCTTGTCCCCTATAGCCCCCATAGCTTGTCCCCTATAGCCCCCATAGCTTGTCCCCTATAGCCCCCATAGCTTGTCCCCTATAGCCCCCATAGCTTGTCCCCTATAGCCCCCATAGCTTGTCCCCTATAGCCCCCATAGCTTGTCCCCTATAGCCCCCATAGCTTGTCCCCTATAGCCCCCATAGCTTGTCCCCTATAGCCCCCATAGCTTGTCCCCTATAGCCCCCATAGCTTGTCCCCTATAGCCCCCATAGCTTGTCCCCTATAGCCCCCATAGCTTGTCCCCTATAGCCCCCATAGCTTGTCCCCTATAGCCCCCATAGCTTGTCCCCTATAGCCCCCATAGCTTGTCCCCTATAGCCCCCATAGCTTGTCCCCTATAGCCCCCATAGCTTGTCCCCTATAGCCCCCATAGCTTGTCCCCTATAGCCCCCATAGCTTGTCCCCTATAGCCCCCACAGCCTGTCCCCTATAGCCTCCATGGTGTGTCCCCTATAGCCCCCATAGCTTGTCCCCTATAGCCCCCACAGCCTGTCCCCTATAGCCCCATGGCCTGTCCCCTATAGCCTCCATGGTGTGTCCCCTATAGCCCCCATAGCTTGTCCCCTATAGCCCCCACAGCCTGTCCCCTATAGCCCCATGGCCTGTCCCCTATAGCCTCCATGGTGTGTCCCCTATAGCCCCCATAGCTTGTCCCCTATAGCCCCCACAGCCTGTCCCCTATAGCCCCATGTCCTGTCCCCTATAGCCCCCATGGTGCGTCCCCTATAGGTCCCATAGCTTGTCCCCCATAGCCCCCATGATGGTTCCCCTATAGCCCCCACCATGGCGCATCCCCTATAGCCCCCACAGCCTGTCCCCTATAGCCCCCACCGTGGCGCATCCCTGTCTCCCCCCTCCCCCTATAGCCCCTATGGGTGCCGGGGGGGCCGGGACCCCGAGGTGCTGCGGGCGGCGCTGGCGGAGCTGCGGGGGCACAACCGGGCGCTGCTGCAGCTGCTGCACCAACGGCAGGCCCAGGTCAGGCACCTATGGGGGCCATAGGGGGCACCTATGGGGGGATCTATGGGGGAGGGACGGGGGGCACCTATGGGGGGCGTA